TCCGTCGTTTCAAGGCAGCAGCGGACCTGCAGAAAGTAGTGCAGTTTTGAAGGCTTACAACGGCAGCGCCATCAAGCATGTCGGATATAGCAAGGAATTGCTGCTACTAAACGACGCGACGCCATGCTGTGACCTTCTTCGTAGTCAAAAAAGGTCGCCAGGCCATATTAGGCGGCAGCACGCAGTAAGCAATTGGGCTTGTCCCCGAAATCTGAGAATTCGGTAAGGTAGAGCGAGCCGGAACCCGAGAAGGCCTTTCCAGACTTATTTCAGGGTACAGGCTGTGTCGGAAGGCGATACCGGATGGTCCTGCGGGAGGATGCTGTTCCAGTCGTGCACCCAGCCCGACGGTTACCCTTGGCCCTGAGAGAGCCTCTTCTACAAGAACTGGAAACGCATGGAAACTGCCTCCATTATCAAGAAAGTGGACGAACCGACAGAATGGGTGAGCCCTCTGGTTATTACGCGTAAGAAAGATGGGGCCCTTCGTGTATGCATGGATCCGAGGGAAATAAACAAGAACATAAAGCGTGAGCACTATCCTATGTCAACAAGGGAAGAGATTGAGGCAGAGCTGTCAGTTGCAACATGTTTTTCGCGCCCTAGATGCCAAGGCAGGTTTTCATCAAATTTATTGGACGCAGCTACATCACGAGTGTGCACTTTTGCGACGCCGTTCGGGCGTTACCGCTTCCTGCGACTTCCGCTCGGAATTTTGACAGCAAGCGAAATTTACCAGAAAACGCTAACAGAAATATTTGAAGGATTGGCAGGTGTACGCATATACACAGATGACATTTTAGTGTAGGGCGTCAGCAAGGATCAGCATAGCGAACGCCTGCAGGCCGTGCTGAAGCGGGCACAAAAAGTGGGCCTGACTTTTAACCTGCGGAAATGCGTTTTTGGCGTGAAAGAAATTGAGTTCCTGGGTGACGTAATAAGTGAGCAGGGAATAAGTCCGAGTCGCAACCTGGTTGAAAGCGTCCGTTCACTGCCGACACCTACAGATAGGCACACCGTGCGCAGAATGATGGGCGTGGTCAACTATTTTCGCAAATATGTGCCGTCGTTGAGTGATAAGATAATCTTGCTTCGCGGCCTTGTGAAAGAAAACGTTACGTTTGAATGAACCACAGCGCATCAGCGGGAATGGGAAGCAGAGTGCAATGCGTTAACAAACCCACTGTTACTCGCGCTCTTTGACAAGAAGGACACTAAGATCACTGCGGACGCTTCGGGGACCGGTTTAGGCGCGGCCCTGCTGCAGAAACATGGCAATGACTGGCGCCCAGTGACGTATGCATCAAGAACATTAACCGTTTGCAAGACCCGTTACTCGCAAATTGAAAAGGAAACGCTCGGTATAGTGTTTGCATGCGAGAAATTTCATCATTTTGTTTATGGTCGAAAGGTATGAATCGAAACTGACCATAGGCCCCTGCTTGCCGTTTCTCAAAAGGGCATTGGAGACATGCCACCCGATTGCAGCGTTTTTTTATCAGGCTTTTACAATATGATTATACTTTGCAGTTCGTGCCTGGCAAGGAGCTGGTTCTGGCGGACATGCTGTCACGTGCACTTATGCCATCACAGTCATAGAGTGCCTTCACAGACATCGACATTCATGCGACAGAGGTCGTCTCCGGCATCGTAAGCACGCCCATGAAGGTACGTCTGGAAAAGAAAACAACGACCCGTATTTGAGCGAGGTGAGGGAACGAATCTCACGGGATGACGCCGTCGAAGGTGAACTCAAGCCCTTTGCCGGAGAACTGTCAGTGGTAGAAGGTACACTACTGAAGGGATGCAAAGTGGTCATACCCAAAGCCATGAGAGCAGAAAATCTTCGACGAATTTACGATGGACACCCCGGACTAAATAAATGCAAGGCGAGAGCACGCAGGTTAGTATTTTGGCCCGGGCTCAGCAGTGCCATTGACTCCTTCATTCGGGGGTGCAGTACTTGCCAGAGGTATGCATACAAGCAGCCGAGTGAGCCCCTTCTCATGCAGCCAACCCCGGACAGGCCATTGCACCGAGTGGGAATTGACATTTTTCAGTTCGGGAGAGCCTCCTATGTCATTGTATACGATGCCCACTCCAATTTCTCTGACGTAGAGAAACTAAGAAGCACAACGGCCAAAGAAGTCATAGATAAAATATCGGCCATATTCTCACGGTACGGCATCCCGGTTCATGTATGTACTGACAATGGGCCCCAGTTTGGATCGCAAGAGTTCCGAGAGTTCGCGCAAAGATACGACTTTCAGCACATCACATCGAGTCCGAAATTCCCTCGGTCAAATGGACTGGCAGAAAAGGGGGTTCAGATTGTTAAGCGCATCATAAAGAAGACCAACGACTCCAACGGTGACTTTTGGTTGGGGCTTTTAGCCTATCGGTCATCCCCACTAGAAGATGGTCGCCCTCCGGGTGAACTACTGCAAGGCCGGCACCTTCGCACGACCCTTCCCGAGTACCAAGGCCATCCCGGAACTACAGTGGAAAAGCGCCGCCAGTCTTCGAAGGGAAAGGCACTACCACCGCTTGGAAGTGGAACTGCAGTACGCATTCATAAGACACTGGTCACGCACAGCGACAGTAAGCGAGCAAGCCGCACCAAGATCTTACATGGTGAAGACCGAGAACCAGTGGATGCTGAGGCGAAACAGGCAACACCTGCTGCGCATAGCCGGAAACGGTACAAGCGAGGATGAAGACCAAGACGCCGACAGCCCTGAAAACATGGTCAATCGAGCCAGTCAGGACAGCAATACACCTGGCGAACAAGCGCACGGAGACCAACAAGGCATAGCAGATCCCACAGCTATAACGCAAGGGGCCCACGTTGAAGGGGACGATTTCGATTTTTCAAGTGCACGAAAGTCTAACAGGAAACGTGCGGAACCTCGACGATTGCATTACGACAACAACTTTCATCAAGTTTTCTAAAATGTTTTTTAATCAGCACGAGAACATGTATCAGATTGCAGCTTATCAGTTTGACTGTATGTCTCCCTTATTCTGTCCTCCCTTTGTTCCCTTTCCCTCTTTCATATTGTTTGCTTTACAAGGGCTCCAAATAAACCGCCAAGGCTCTTTTGGGTGGCGCAGCTCTAGCCAACATGACAGCCTGCTTCTTTTAGAGACACAATACAGTAAAGACCTAGTGAATAGGCCATTCACACGCTCACTTTTTTCTTTTCTTTTTCACGCATCTATTTCGCTCTTAGCTTTCTTTCCTATTTTTATTCCCCATTCTTCCCTCCCTTAGTGCAGGATATCAAACTGGATGCTCCAGTTTCTGGTTAAGTTCCCTACCTTTCTCTCATTTTATTCTCTCTCTCTCTCTCCTTGTTCCTTAATGCACACATAAGATGTTTGCATACGCATAAGTTTGCCTTCGCAGCTTCTAGGCTTCTGCCGCATTTTGCAACTCGCTCGATTCTCTCCACGTCATACCTTCTAATTTCGGCTACTTTACGCCTATTGATCAGTTCCAAAAGCTCCGAAAGTGCTGTTTTGTGTCTTGCATTTGAGGCTTTAATGGTTTGTGGTCTCTTGATAAGATTTCCTTTTTGTCTCCTGACATAGTTTGCCAGTGTGCTGTACATCCGACTTTCATTGCACTCTCTTTGATGATTAGTATGATTATCATTCATTGTGTCATTGCTAAGGTCAATTACGTTGTTTATTGCCTCGAACCAATTCCGAAGTGAAACTCTGAATTCCTGTACTTTCTCTCTCACCGCTACTTAATTATTGAATTCGACTAGTTAATAAATTGGAGCGTGCTCACACATGTAGGCTTTTAAAATGGAAATCTCGTGGGCTTCGACTATTTCACGCTTTCGTTGATTGCGCTTTGTAGCTCGCACTCCCCATTTGCTGAATTAGTGATAGCAGCCTCATTGTTTGCTGAGAGTCGCAACATGACCGCTCATGGCCCTTGCTACGTTATAGTGGTGTTCCCGAAGCCTCTCATCAATACAGCGGCTAGACTGGCCGACGTGGTCTCTTGCACATGTCAATATGTATACATTTGCAGCACACTTACCAAACTGTTATGTATGTTTCTTGTTACAATGAACACCTTATTACAAAGCCTGGACAGCATGTTAGGCGCGGTTAAAGCTACGTATATATTCGTACGTTGACATAATCACTTCAAGTTATTTGACAATTAGTGTAGATTCCGTATTACTGTGGCCTTCCAGTGGTGCTTTCGATCCACATATTTGTTTTGTTCTTGCGACGTGGCTTTGGTAGAGTTAATCTGTTGGAGAATCTTCTGAGCAACTTTCCGCGGATAAACGGTCATAATACATCTTGTAACCTGCCCTTGAAAGCTATCACTTTTGCAATTAGTACCAGATTTCTCGAGTGAATTGGACAGCCACTCTTTTGTGACTTTCTATTCACTAACTTTAAATGGACACTGTTAAATGATATGATAGGTTTCTGACTTTGCGGTTCACGTGGCTGGTTCATACTGCAGGTTCATACCGTTAGTTCTGTTAGCCAATGGTATCGAGCCTTTTTGCGTTAGTGTACACTTCATATCTTTTCTCCCTTTTTTGCCTTTGCCTTCACTTTGCTTTTTGTTTTTTTTATTTGGTTTTCATGTCTCTCTGATACGTTATTAAGTATCTATTTATGTTTTCGCCACAATCAACTCATGTTGTCTGTCCTGGTGCTTTGAGCTGTTTCTCCAACGGCCCCCAGAAGTCTTATCTTTTCGAGATGTGCCGCAATTGAAGTGTTTTCATGCTTTCATAAGAACGCTGGGGAGATAAATAAGGACATTTACCACCAGCAGTGAAAACGATGCTCTTAGATAAAAGCACGAAAAAAATCCTGATGTATTCCGGGTGCAACAAAAAGCACATATGAATATGCATGGTTCGAGTTCCGTTAGATAACTTTTGGCGCTTAATTATATGGAAATCGCGCGCTTGATATTGGCATGCAAAAATGGCATATTTGAAAGTTATTCTTACTTTAGCCCTTGTTACGCCGACGAGAAGGAAGTCAATTTTGGGGTTCGTCGTGTCCAAGTACCTTAGGTTCACCTAGAAAAAATTTCATAATGAACATCACAGTTTAGCCTAAAGCGCCACTTTTCTCAATAATAACCATATTGTGACAAACTTATTATAACCAATCATTAGCCAAGAATTTTTTTAACATGCCCAGGAACAACCATATAATCTTTGTGCAGGCGCACGCAAAAATGACACAATATAAATAAACAATAGAGGACAGTCTACGAAAATCAATTAGAAAGAGCGAGAACGCAAAGACAAAAGAAAATGACCGCAAAATAGAAATAATGAAAGGAAATACGAGAATCATGGAACGATAGCGAAAAATGAAGGCGTATATACTTCCGGGAAAGAGAAAAAGAGAAGAATCTATACAGTGTGAAAAATTATCTCAACCCCTGTCATTATTTCAAATTATCGAATCCCCTGTCATAGTTTTTATCAGGGATAGAAACAATGAGAGGGGCTTTAGAAAACCTCAAGATCGTGAAAATAACATTACATAGACTTTCTATTCTGTGAGCAAGAGCGTTGAAACAATTTGGCAAGTACACGAAATGGTGGTTTCTCTCTGGTTAACTTGCGCCGAATCTGAAAACTTACAAACTGAGATGGAGAGGGCATGATCTTATAGCGTGACCTTGTTTGTAACGAAATAACCCCCCTATTCACGAACCTAACTCAACCTCATCCTTTAGACTTAAGTCAACCTTAGCCATAAGTCCGCCATTAACACGTTTCGAGAACCTACCTGTTAGTTACCGCGCAACGTTTCTTGTACTTAAGTAAGGCTCGTTCAAGATAGCCTACGACCGACCTTAAGGTTTTTTTAAACATGGCGGGGGATGACAACTTTGCGTATTCCCTTTATTATGTACACCACAAAGAAGAATTATTGAACAGAGCTTACGCGTACACGTTACTGCCACGGCGAGTCCTCAACGCTCGACGGAACCTGGTTGAGACCTACTACAAGCAAGAATGTTTGTGCCACCCCCGCTTCACAAAAAGTGCGGGTAAAATCTGCTCACTGTGCTGTTTCTGCACGAAAATATCCTTGGTTGTAGGTTCATTGAGCCCCGTCTCATGCCGCATGCAGCTGCTCATCGCTTCGCGCTTTTATGGAGTTGGCACATTCGAGCTTCGGAGCGACGGCCTTGTCACTGTCTCGTAGCCGAGCGTGTCACGAGTATACAAATAAGTGGATACCTGCTATGGTTGCAAAAACACTTTTTTGTACCAGTAAAACTTCTCTAAGTGGCGCGAACACTTTTCTACTTGTTTGGTCAGTCATTCACGGATGCACAGTGTGTCGAGCGTTGAATTATATCGCCAGATGCTTCCACGTTTTTAGTTTTCTCTGCAGGCACACGGCGTCCGTCTTGGAACTTGTTCACAAAATCCAGTGTGGATTGCTCCTCGTGTCGTCTGCTAGCCACGTCGTGTTTCTATGTGCGCGTACCTCATGCATGTTCTCAAAGTGTGGTTTGTCCGGTCATGTCAGCGCGAGTGTAACTGTTTCTAGGTATGCCAAAAATGGCATACAAAAGCATTTGGTCTTGCTCGGCTGCTAATGCATCGTAATAGGATGGGTAAGTGCAGCTTTCGAGAGTGCTGTTCATTGTCATCGTACCCTTCATTCTGCAGAATAATTTCAAATTGCGTGCCACTTTCTATTTCAAGCACATCGCGAAACACTTCTTGCATCCTCACAAACAGGAGAAATATTGAATGTTGAGTGAATTCGGCTTCTTATTGCGACTCGGTTGATACCCCCCCCCCAAAAAAAAATCAGGCTCGAGGTCATGAACTTGCGCGCTGTTGGTAGGTGTAGAAATACGGCACTGTATTTTATCGATCATGTGAGGAGCCTCAGTTGTGTTTATCTGACCGTGGTACCACTTGTCACAGGTCCCGTTAATTCGGGAGGCAATCGCCGGGCTAATTCCAAGGGCCGAAGTATCGGCCCCCCGAACCGCACCACGAAAGCGTGGACAATTTACAAGTAGTCATATTTGGTGCGCCAGCGGACGCCGGCTGTGGTCCAAAGAACAAGTCAGAGCCGAGAGTTGATAAACAAAACAAAATTATATTCTCAGTAATGGCAGATCAAAACAATACACAAGTATGCACACTCCACAATAGTTGAGTACAGTATGTCACCAATCAAACAACGTACTACACAGTACAATCAGCCACACTTGAAACAAAGGACACAGACAACAATACACACTACAATGCAGTCGCATGCATTGAACAACCAAGACACTTAAAGACTAAAGAGATAAAAAACCTATTCAGTCCAAAGTTCTTGGAACAAAAGTCTGGATGATACTCTTCCGAGAATCACTCACTGAAAGTCCAGCGTTGTTGTCGTTCAGCTGCCCCCGAAGTTTCTCTTCCAGGAAACCTCTGTCGTTCCGCTTCTCCGAAGTTTCTCTTCTAGAAAACCTCACGTCTTAACTTGGCCGCTCTCCAAGCTTCAAACTTCTTCGCTGGAAACACGTCGGCTTCACACACGCAGCTGTTGCCACGCGTCTTCGCTCGATAGCGGTAGACACACGCTCTTGTCTGTAGCTCGAGCCTTCACCCTAAGGTGGAAATCCTCTTCTTCTCCTGCTTTGTCCCTATGGACAAAACCTTCGCCGACTACACGGCGGGATACACAACGCGCTTTGGCGCTAACTTCCGTCTTCTCCTGCTCTCTCATCTCGGCTGCTCGATTAAATACCTTCTGCGCGAGATTCCAGAAAGTTCTGATCCTTTCGTCGGCGCGATGCGCAGCGAAGGCTGGGGAGAGGGCGAGACGGTTCGAAGGCCATCTGCGACGTATGACGCAACCCGGCATCACCCCGCCCCTTTCCATCTAGAAAATTCCAGTGCTTGCTCGGCCGCCGATGTGGGGTGAGGAGGTTCGTCGGCGAACCTACGCTTCCGAAGGGAGAGGGGCGCGCGCCGGGGAGTCTTTGGATGCTTGTTTCTTCCCTTTTTTTTCGTTGACCTCGCGGCATCACTCTGGTGTTTCGTCGCGAACATTTGGCGGCACGCCCTTTTTGAGCGCTCGTTTTGTGACACTGCCCCCACTTTAAGAATATTATCTCACAATATTCAAAACCACACAAACGAGCGCGAACAGTCCCCACACTCTCAGAGACTGTAACAAAGTCCGTCGCTCATGACACGTCACATTCATAATAGATCACTCAATACAATTATACATTACAATTCAATCTCACAACACATAGAATATAGATACAGGTACATGAATACAATACTCCATCATATACTTCAAGCAATACAAATGTACAATGGTCTGTCTTTACAACAATTGTACCATACTATACATCACATCACCGTAACAAAAATTTTGATTCACTCGACATAAAGTTGTGACACAGGACAACAACCACATTAACTCGACATATAGCACTGTCAAACACATTCCGATTCGTCCTCAACACTTATCCTGTGAATTTAGAACGGCGCTTGCGCCCTTTCTTGCGGTGCTCGCTCGATCTCTTCTTGTGTTTCCACGTTCTTTTTCGGCGAGCCGTTTCAAACGACGGTAGCTGAGGCGGCATCTCAGCCATCGTTGTCACTTCCGACATATTTAATGGGTCATAACGTTCAACCGATCCTGTTTGGTCATTCACCCACTTGTTCATGTCACGACAGTTGGCCTGCCCCGCCGCGGTGGTCTAGTGGCTAAGATACTTGGCTGCTGACCCGCAGGGCGCGGGTTCGAATCCCGGCTGCGGCAGCTGCATTTCCAATGGAGGCGGAAGTGTTGTAGGCCCGTGTGCTCAGATTTGGGTGCACGTTAAAGAACCCCAGGTGGTCTAAATTTCCGGAGCCCTCCACTACGGCGTTTCTCATAATCATATAGTGGTTTTGGGATGTTAAACCCCTCATATCAATCATCAGTTGGCCTGGCTGGCCGACTCCATCACCTTTACACTGTCGGTCGGTTGAGGTCGTGCCGACGTAAGTCCAGCTGCCCAGCACGTGAACTCATTCAACACGATCATCTTCTCATTCACTGACTCTTGCACCGCGGCTCCACCTTGGGCTCGAGTGAGATCCGTCACGGGATGCTCCCCCACTGTATATCGCAGTCGCTGGGATGGCGAGGGCTCCATCTTCGGGTCTTCTCCCAATCGTTCTGGATCATTCGGCCCTCGCGCCCCGTCGATGTTTCCGATGACGAGGTCGCACAGGGGGGTCGTCATGCATAGAGCAGTAACCTTCCCGCTGAAGTACGGTGTTTCGACCTCAATTTCTGCTTCGGGAAGCATCCGAACCGTACTATCAATCAGGCAAACTGGTTTCGTTTTGCCTGTTAACTCACTTTCTCGTACCAAATTTCTCCGCACGATAACGGTGGAGCTACCGGTGTCTCTTAACACCATAACCTTCTTGCCCGCAACTTTTCCAGGCAGCGTTGGCATTCCCTTCGTAACAACGGTTGGCTGTTTTGTCATTACAGCACCCACAATAGGGATTTTCTCCCCATTTTTCAACTCTACGAATCCATCAGTGACGTCATCAACGGTTTTTGGTGCCATTTGCGCACAGGATACCTGGTGAGTCTGACTCGCTCCGTTATGACATGCGTCTGCGTTGTGCCCAGCCTGACCATACTTGAAACATTTTACTACCGTAGGGCTCGTAAAGATCGTTCGACAGTTGTTCGCGCGATGACTTACTCGGTTACACAGAAAACATCGCGGAACACTCTCCGGTGCACGCTTCTTTTGTTCGGGTGCCAAATTTTTCTAATCTTCGGGACACTCCTTCTTGACCTTGGCCAAATTAGTTCCACCTTGCGCTTCCAAGAATTGATCAGCCAATTCAAGCATGCCTTCAAGTGACTGAGCTCTTCTCTCTTTCAAGTACAGCGACAGGCTTGGGTAGCAACTAGTAAGAAATTGTTCTCTAATTAGGAGCTCTCTAAGCTCATCGTACTCCTGCGCTGTCCCTGAAAGTTCAATCCATCTGTCGAAATAATGGCAAAGTCGGGCGGCATA